CTCATGAACTTTTCTCATTTCATATGTAACAGCCTCTTAGAGTCTAACAGTTCTCAACCTGGCGACAATCCTAACAAGCATACTCAGCTGATTTCTAAGCTAAGAGAAGATTAAAAAGAACTAAAGGGACATAGAAATAGTAACAGATAGAGGGATAGTGAAAGCATCAAGAGGTGACCACTGACAACCTGATAGCAAAGGAATAAATGAAAAAGTTGAAAGAGGAGGCACAAAAACTAAAGTTGGCAAAGCCATCTGAAAAGACTGAGTGCAGAGACAAACAACCCAATAGATCTCATTAGTTCATAAAAATAGAACTGTTACAAAACTCAACAATAAGTGATATTCCAAAGATTCTAAGACAACATGAGAGTAAAAGTATGTTCAATGTACACTGTTTAAGAAGTAAAGGAAGAAGAGACCATATTTTATTTTTTTATTTCTTTGAGGCAATTGGGGTTAAGTGACTTGCCCAGAGTCACACAACTAGTAAGCGTCAAATGTCTGGGACCAGGTTTGAACTCAGGTCCTCCTGACTCTAACTCTGGAGCTCTATCCACTGCACCACCTAGCTGCCCCAAGAGACTATATTTTAGAAGATTATCATCAAAATATGACAACGAGGTGGATCCAATCATTCTGCAGAGCAATTTGGAACTATGTCCAAAGAGCAATCAAACTGTGCATGCCTTTTGATCCAGCAATACCACTACTAGGTCTGTACAATCCCAAAGAGATTATAAAAAAAAAAAATTAAAAGGCCCTTTTCGTAATGGCAAAACATTGGAAATTGAGGGGATGCCCATCAATAGCTAAGCAAGCTGTGGTACTTAATGTGAAGGATGAATACTATTGTGGAATAAAAAATGACAAGCAGGCAAATTTCAGAAAACCCTGGAAAGACATTTATGAACTGATGCAAAGTGAAATGAGCAGAACCAGGAAAACATTGTACACAGTATTGGCAACACTGTGTGTTGATCAACTATAAATGACTCAGGTCTTCTCAGCAACACAAGCAACACTTGTCCAAGACAAGTACAAAGGACTCAAGAAGAAAAATGCTACCACATCCAGATAAAAAACTGATGGAGTCTGAATGCAGAGCAAAGCATATTTTTTCACTTTATTCGTTTTTGTGTTTTTTTCCCCTTCTGATCCATTTCTTCTTTCACAGAACTGTGACTAATATGGAAATATATTTTACATCATAGCACATGTATAACCTATATCAAACTGCCCCCACCATTTTAGGAAGAAGGGAAGGGTGAAGACAGAGGGGAGGGGAATGAGGGAGAGAAATTTGAAATTCAAAATCTTATAAACACTGAATGCTAAAAACTGTCTTGACATGTAATTAGGGAAAAAAATAAAATACCATAATTCAAAAAAATATGGCAACTAAAAGAGTTCTTGCTTTTTACATAAAAAATGCTTCAATTTGCAAAATTATCTGAAGAGGAACAGCTTATTCAACAATGAGGCCAAATAACTGAGGTATAAACTATAGCAGCTTTCTAAGATGTTTAGTGCTTACCAAAGTCTAAGCTTGGTAAGAACAAAGAGTACAATACAATACTTTTATTCACTCAGTCAATAAAGATTTATTAAGGGTTTACTATGTGCTCGGCACTGTGATAAGTACTAGGCATGTACATATAAGTTTTAAAAAACAAGACAGTTCCGCCCTCAAGGAGTTTACAAGTTAACTGGAGGATCCCTTACACAAAAGGAAGCTGAAAAGTAAGGGAAGGAGATACCCAGATGCAGTCCTATAAAGAAGTCCAAAGAAGTCCAAAAACAGTGTAGTTGTTAGAAAACAGGGAGAAGACTGGGCTGAATCACTTTCATGAATAGAGGCTTTGAACTAAGGGCCCTGCCCTCAGTCACCTAGTCCAATCAGAGGAGCAGATGGGATGAACTTATTCGACATATTCAATCTTTCAGAATAATGAGATTTCCCAATAATAAGTTTAGTACCAACCATTACTTAGCTTTATTTATTGACATATTTTTATTTAATCTTATGCAATTCCCAGGAGGAACCAATTAGATACAAAACTGGATTTCAGCTGAGAAATCAGTCCACAAAAATAAATATTTGTCAAGAAAACAAAACTACGAGGAATTGTAGAGTACTATTACAGGTATCAACTAAGTAGTAACATTTTCTATGAAAGTATTTAATGCAACAGAGCTTTTTCTTCAAAACTGCCCCAAACATAATTCACGTTTTCTATTTATATACTAACGGATTACTAGGGATAGTCCAGTGACAAGAAGAAAACATAAAACTTTGCAGGGTAGGGATGGAATGTGAACAGATTTGCCAAAACTTGTAGTTAACAGCTTCCTGAAGGATTTCTGGAGATTTTTATATGAAGTACCTTATAACAAACAAACTTTGTTTAAAAAATACTATTAAACCTATCTTAAAACTTAAAACTTGAGTTCACTAAGCCAATAGGATGGTATAAAAACTGAATAGAGATCATTAAAGATAGCTTTACAATAGAAATAGTCTTCAAACTAGGGTATCTGTATTTAATTTATTCTGAAAAAAAATTAATATTTAAAATCCACAAATATTCCTTGACATTATGAAGCAGAACTGTTTTTATAAGTAAATGGAATATGTATAAGGTTATCTCTAAAATAAGTTTTTATTTATTTGAAAATTTTAAAAGATGGCATTTATTACAATTGTCAATGTTCATTTTTTAAAAGTTCATGCTAAACATATTAAGAAAATATAATAATAATCAATGTAAATATAAAAGAATGATCTCTTAAGCACCCCCTAATTTTTATGTAATACTGATTAAAATCACCCCGATTAAAAAAAAAGGATGGCTCTAGTTTTTTTCCATTAAGAGGAAACATTGCCTTCTACCATCCCTGAGATCTCGTTTACTTGTTCATCAAAATCCTCAAGATTAAAAAGAATTCATTACACTGCTTTACTACATTACTCAAGCCATTTATGTGAATGAGAATGGCACAATTAATTCTGGCAAACTCTGCTCATTAAAAATATATAAGCTGTTATTTTTTTAGGAATTAGACTTCTAAACTGATATTCTTAATCTCTGATAATCCCAAGTGTCTGACTGATGATAAAATACAATTATATTAAACTCATAGTGTAATAATAAAACACAATATGGCACATATTAACTGAGGAACAGTGTGCCTGACTAGGGAAGTCAAAGTCCTAACTAGACTCTTCTTGGATCAGACCAAAACTAAAATAGTAAACTCAGTGCTTCTGGTCAGCTGTCCCCCATGCTTGAAATACTCTCCTCCCTTCCCTGCTCCAAATTTCAACCTCACTGGCTTCCTTGAAATGCCAATTAACATCCCACCTTCCACAGGAAGCCTTCCCCAACACTTCTTAATTCTAGTGCCTTCCCTCTGTTACTTATTTTCTATTTACCCAGTATATATAGATTTTTCCACCATGACTCAACTGTGTTTTGGTCCTAGAAAGTCCTTCAGTGCCTAGAACCTTTCACTCTGGAATATCACTTCACCGCGCCCTCACCCTTTTCCCATGAGTGAATTCCAGCCAGGGCTTGAATTTTAGGGATGGGTCCAGATCAGCGAAGCTTCATTCCTCTCTCAGTTGTGCTATTGTCTCTATGGAAGTCACCATCTTGCCCCATTCGAAGTGCCTTCACCTTCCTCTCTCCCTAATCATCTTAGCTCCTTTTTTGAAGCATTATCTTCCTTCATTAGAATGTAACCTCCTTGAGAGCAGAGACTGTCTTTCTTTTTTATTGTATTTCTAGGCTAGCACTTGGCACATCAGTAGCACTTAATAAATGCCTGTCGACATGCTTGCTAGAAGCCACACTTTAGGAAGTACTTTGAGAGTGGGAGAGAGTCAACAAGAGGATGACTAAGATGATGATGGGCCTTGAGAGAGTGCCAGATGAGAATAAGTTCATACAATTACAATTCTGGAGATGGAAAGGATCCCAGAAGGGACCTAATCCAATCTCCTCATATTACAGATGAACTGGAAAAACTGGAGATGTTTAGGATAGTCGTTTGTAAGTAGTGAAAGGTTATATTAAGTAGATAAGGAATTAATACCAAAGTGGCAGAAATAGAAACGATGAATAGAAGCCGCAGAAAGGCAGACTTAGGATTGACACAAAGGGGCAACTAGGCGGCCCAAGAAAAAGAGCCCAAGGCTTAGAGTGAGAAGGACTTGAATTCAAATCCAGCTTCAGACATTTACTATCTGTCTAATCCTGGGCCAGTCACATAACCTCTGTTTGTCTGTTTTCTCAACGGTAAAAGGGGATAATAATAGTACTACCTTGAAAAGTTGTTGTGAGAATCAAATGAGATAACCGCGAAGCATTTAGCACAGTTTTTGCCACATATTAAGCACTATATAAATGCTTGCTATTAGCTATTATTATTACAAAAAAATACTGCATAACAGTTGTGTCTGTCTAAAAGTAGAATGCACTCCACTGGGGAGCGCATTAATAGTTTCCATCTCACAAGAGCTATTCAAACAAACACTGAATACTCAATGATCACGTATTCTGTAGAACAGAATTTTGCCCAAGTATTACTTGGACTACATGGCTTCTGAAGTCCCTTAACAGCTCTGAGAATCAATGGTTCTACATGGTCCCTTAAAAGCCTTGTAGATTTTTCTAGAGGAGAGACCCCAAATAGGCCTGCCTAACTGTGAAAATGAAATATCAAATGGACAAGGTATCAACTTGTAAGGAACAACATGACAAAACTTAAATTTTGAGAAGTAAAAATCGAGCTGTAAATCATCAAGAAAAAATTGTTATGGGAAAGATAATTTAGATTTTATTTCTTTAAACTGAAAATCCCAATAAGAGGCTGATGAAAGAACCCATTCTACACTGATAAGATTTATTGCAGTGAAAAATATGATGCAAAAGAGTTAACATTCTCATTTCCATTTGCATTTCTTTTCTTTAGAATTATTTAAATAATTAACTAACCTGGGCAACTTTCATAGAATTCTGTGTAGAACCACCAGCATGATATTCCACTTTGAACTTTTTAACAAGTTCTTCAAACCTGTTAAAAAAAAATACACAAAAGAAAAACTTAGGTTAGTTTCCTTAAACTTCAACAGTGGAAATCTGAAGAGAAATGAAAAAGATCATGTCATAGTAGAACCTGTTTTAATGCTAGTAGGCAGCATATTATCAGCCAACATATCAAAAAGTTTATCAGAAGTGGTATATGTTTGACAAAGGTTCACAATAAAATTATAATGGGGATTCAAGACTATAAGCAGATTCTGACTCACACAGATAATCAAAATGCCTTAAGCATGTATAGTTTGCACATTAATGTACTGCTCATGGTGACCCAAAGATATGCAGGGTTGGTTTTTGTACTTATTTGATATCTCAGAATAAAGGTTTAGTGGGCATGAAGTACTTATTCAAGGCCAAAATTAAGCAATGAAGGACAACATCAAAAGCAAGAATTGTGAACTCCGACTTAGCGCTCAAGAGCTGGAGTTCTCGCTTAGGGTCCCCAAGACTGCTTCAGGAGATCTTCAAAGGTCAAAACTATTTTCATAATAACATGAAGACATTTAAACTTCTAATATGTTTAAGTATACATAGATAATACCAACCCAAAAGAAATCTCTTTGAAGAAGGGAAGTCCTCAATACTTTTAAGAGTGTACAGGGGACTTGAGACTAAAGTTTGAGAACTATTTTCCTAGGGAGAAAAGAAGAATAATGATGAGAAAACTGACATTGGATTTGGTGATGAGAAGGCCTTTTACCATCAATGTCAATGGAGAGCTAAACTGCCAGGTACCAAGGAGTAAAAAGCTGGTTAAGAAATACATACACTGAATACATACAGCCTCTTCCAGGTTTGGACAGTGACAGGCAGGACAGAAACAAAGGAGGCAAAGTCAAGGAAATTTGTGTATGTTTTTCAGTTGTTGATATTTTAAGGATATAAAAAACCTAAGTATTGAGGCAGCTAGGTGGTGTGGTAGATAGAGCACCAGCCCTGGAGTCAGGAGGACCCGAGTTCAAATCCAGCCTCAGACACTTGACACTTACTAGCTGTGTGACATTAGGCAAGTCACCTAACCCCACTGCCTCACCAAAAAGCAAAACACAACAACAACAACAACAACCTACAAAGTATCTTTGTAGGCTAAGGGGAAAGCTGAAGGACACAGAGAGAGGAACAAAAAAGCATAAGATAAAAGAAATGACTGAGGAACCAATATCACTGCTGAAAGGAGAAGGAAGGCAATCCCTGGTAGGAGTGAAGCTGCTTCCCTTTCACAAAGAGAACGATGACCACTCCCCATGAGACTGGGGAAAAAGAATGAACAGAGGAAGAATACTGAAAGGATTAAAAATAGTTTCTAAAGGATAACTTCTCAGTAAAGAGAAGAAGTTGTGTGTGGGTGGGAGGTAAAGGTCTGCAACAGCTATTATAGAAGTGGAACAGAAAGTCAGTAAAAGATATAGACTAATAGTGAATACAGAACAGATGCGAGCAAATACCAGAATGCTATCTCCTTGGCATACAGCTTGCTAAGATATCCTTTAACTAGAATAGCTATAATTTAATATAATAGCTGCAACTTTAAAGGTAACCATTCCACAGGGAAAAGCCAGCTTCAAAGTCAAAAAGACCTGGGTTCAAGTCCTATGTCTAACTGTGGAGGTTGGGAAGGATCAGGTGGCCTCTTAGTGTCCAGAATTAGTATAGATCAGAATTAGGAGGAGTTTCTTCACTTGGAGCTGCCTTAAAAAAAAAATCGCAGATTCAGACCAAAAATAATCCCAGTTGGGGTTTTCTTGGCAGAGATACTGGAGTGCTTTGCCATTTCCTTCTCAAGCTCATTTTATGGATGAGGAAACGGAGTAAAACAAGGGCTAAGTGACTTGCCCCAAGTTATACAGCTAGTTAGTATCTGAGACCAGGTTTGAAATCAGGAAGATGAGACTTCCTAACTCCTGTCCCAGAATTCTATCCATTGGACCACCTAGCTGTCCTCAAAATCTATATATAGGATAGATAAAAAAAAAACTGGGGGTGCGGGAAAATATTTTACCTTTGAGGGTTTTACCAAAGATGAGACCAAAAAGAATCTCACAAGCCTACCAAAAAAGAAAGGTACAACTTAGATGTTTAAAAATCAAAGAGCATAGAAAAGAATTCCATAGATGGGCAGAGCCAAGACCGGAGAGTAAAACCAGTGACTTGTTTGAGCTCTCCAAATACCTGTAAAAAATGGCTCTAAAAAAAGTCTAGAGCAGTAGAACCCAGAAAAAGACAGAATGAAACAAATTTCCAACCCAAGACAACCTGGATGGTGGATGTGAAAAGTCTATGGCACCAGGCTGGGAGAGGAATGCAGTTCAGGCTGAGTACGAAGGCAAAAACCAGGCCACAAAAGCCAAAGACAATTTACAAGATCAGTAGGGAAGGTCTGTGGCCTCTGTGAAAGAGAAACTCAGTCCTCATCCCTGTCCCTACATGGCCCCCGGGCAGCAATTGCTTCCAGAGCTCTCCACTCACAGACAGTAGGGAACGCGTGGCTGATCAGAAGGGGATTGCAGGTAACTCTTTGCTAGTGCTTAAGCCCGTGCTTGGATCTGGGGCACAGTTCTGGGTGATGATCCTGGGTCACAGAGGAGCACTGGCAGGGTGGAGCCTGTACTGGCAGTGGAGAGAGAATCTTTCTCACAGCTCCAAGGCAGAAAAGAGTGCTTGTGGTCACTCATACATCAGAGCACAGGCCAGGAAACGAGTAAACACCTCATCCTTGATCATTCCACCTTGGAAGAACTGAAAATTTATAGGTCCCTAGAAGTATCTCTGAAAACAACTGCACAAAACCCCTAAAGCTTGGGAAAGTACATTCTCCACACTGGAAGCAAACCTCTACCTTAACCAAGACTTTAAAACTCAACTAATATGACTGGGAACACGAGCAATCTGCGCAACAAACGTCACATCACAAAATCTTTCTTTGGTGACAAAGAAGATCAAAACATACAACCAGAAGAAGACAACAAAGTCAAAGCTTCTATATCCAAAGACCCCAAGAAAAATATGAATCAGTCCCAGGCCTTGGAAGAGCTCAAAAAGGATTTTGAGAAGCAAGTAAGAGAAGTAGAAGAAAAACTGGGAAGAGAAATGAGAGTGATGCAAGAAAATCACAAAAAACAAATCCACAGCTTGCTAAAGGAGACCCCAAACAATACTGAAGAAAATAACACCTTAAAAAATAGCCTGACCCAAATGGCAAAAGAGGTCCAAAAAGCCAATGAAGACAAGAATGCCCTAAAAAGCAAAATTGGCCAAATGGAAAAGGAAGTCCAAAAGCTTACCGAAGAAAATACTTCCTTAAAAATTAGAATGCAGCAACTGGAAGCTAGTGACTTTATGAGAAATCAAGACATTGTAAAACAAATCCAAAACAATGAAAAAAAATAGAAAACAACGTGAAATATCTCATTGGAAAAACAACTGACCTGGAAAATAGATCCAGGAGAAAGAATTCAAAAATTATTGGACTATCTGAAAGCCATGATCAAAAAAAGACCCTAGACATCATCTTTCAAGAAATTATCAAGGAAAACTGCCCTGATATTTAGAACCAGGGCAAAATAGAAATGGAAAGAATCCACCAATCACCTCCTGAAAGAGATCCTCAAAGGAAAACTCCTACGAATACTGTAGCTAAATTCCAGAGTTCCAAGGTCAAGGAGAAAATAGTGCAAGCAGCCAGAAAGAAAGTATTGTTGAAACACAATCAGGAGATTAACACAAGATTTAGCAGCTTCTACATTAAGGGACCAGAGGTCTTGGAATATGATATTCCTGAGGGCAAAGAAGATAGGACTACAACCAAGAATCACCTACCCAGAAAAACTGAGTATAATCCTTCAGGGGAAAAAATGGTCATTCAGTGAGATAGAGGACTTTCAAGCATTCTTGATGAAAAGACCAGAGCTGAATATAAAATCTGACTTTTAAATACAAGACTCAATTGAAACATGAAGAGGTAAACAGGAATGAGAAATCATTAGAGGTTGAACTGTTTACGTTCCTGCATGGAAAGATGACACTTGTAACTCATGAGACCTTTGTCATTATTAGGGTAGTTGGAGAGGAAAAATTATATGGATGGATAGATAGATAGATAGATGGATAGACAGAGATAGATAGATAGATAGATAGATAGATAGATAGATAGATAGATAGATAGATAGATACATAGAGGGCACAGGGTGAGTTGAAGATGAAGGGGTGATATCTGAAGAATAAAATTAAGGGGTGAGAGAGGATTATACTGTGAGAAGGAGAAAGGGAGAGTTAGAATGGGGTAAATTATCTCCAATAAAACAAACAAGAAAAGGCTTTTACAATGGAGGGGAAATGGGGGAAGGTGAGAGGGAATGAGTGAATCTTATTCTCATAGGATTTGGCTTAAGGAAGGAATAACATACACACTCAATTGGGTATGGAAATCTATCTTACCCTACAGAAAAATAAGGAGGAAGAGTATAAGAGGGGTGGGGGATGATAGAAGGGAGGGCAGATTGAGGAAGGGGGTAATCAGAAGCAAACACTTCTGAGGAGGACAGGGTAAAAAGAGAGAATAAAATAAATGGGGAGCAAGATAGGATGAAGGGAAAGAGTTAGTTTTCCACAACATGACTACTATGGAAGCGTCTTGCATAACTACACATGTATAACTTGTATCGAGTTGCTTGCCTTCTTGATGAGAGTGGGTGGGGAAGGAGGAAGGGGGAAAATCTGGAACCCAAAGTTTAAAAACAAATGTTAAAAATTGTTTTCACATGCAACTGGTAAATAAGATATACAGGGAATGGCGTACAGAACGGGAAGGGGAAAGAGAAGCGGGGGAGATAGAAGGGAGGCAGATTAGGGGAAGGGGTATTCAGAATGCATGCCATCTTGGGGTGGGAGAAGGGAAGAGATGAGGAAAAAATTTGGAACACAAAATCTTGTGGAAACGAATATTGGAAATTAAAAATAAATAAACAGAAAAAAAGG